CCAAATTTAGGGGTACCCTTTTTGGGGTCCCAAAAATAAGGACTATAATACGTTGGGGTCTATATTGGGGTTCCCCTATTTTGGGAAACTACCAAATGTCTTGTGCTTGCAGAAGTCGGGACGGAATGTCCGCGTCTTTTCACAGGCGGCACAGGCGTGCTGGTATGTGAATGATCAGCAAGTGCTATTGACACACTGAGGAAGGCTTCACATGGCAACCTAGCTACGAATGGTATTGGCCAACTCCCATCTCCAAAAATTGCCCGCCGGCAGCCCGCAGGAAAAGTTCTCAGCCACTCCACTACACACTGGCAGGGAGGCTTCACTGACTTTCTGCACGGGCTGACGCCAGGCTAGGAGGGAAGATGCCGAACAACCACGGCACAACTTTATGGCCATGTGAAGCTCATGCACCGAACTACAGGACGGTGACTACAGCTCGTCCTTACCACCGGTCTTCGCCTTGAGAATTGCGATCTTGTAGTTTGTCTTGTCCTTGAGCTTTCCCAATGTTTTCCTGGGTCAGTTTGTACATCTTCAAGGATCAAGAGACATCTGCTGAAGGAAAGCAGCCACAGCATGCAACTCTAAGCTTCATACCCCAAGCGCAAGCCTTAAAACTGTTACAATGAATCCTGCAACCCTCACTAACCCCAAACCATGAATAACCCAATATACTAGTTTCCATGTTCTTTTCCATCATCCCTATATAACCCCCATATAACCCTATACTATGGTAGTCTCCATTTCATTTTCCATTGTCCCAATATAGCCCCTACCTTCAGTCTTGGGTCTTGAGATCCTCCTGCTTCTTCATGGTGGCCATCGCCTCCTTAACATGGCTGAAGGGTCCATATAGGGTATATAGTCGGTATATAGGGATCCCAGGTTCAAGGGCCTTAAACCCTAAATCCCAACATCCCTAAATCCCCAAACCCTAAACCCCTAAATCCCTAAACCTCTAACCCAACCTTAGACTCCTCTTTCTGTTTCTCGAAGAGGTCGCTGGCTGCCTTGTACTCGGCCTCCAGGTCTTCCATCTCCTCCGAGGGTCCCGAAGTTTGGGGTTTAAGATGTGGGTTGAGGGTTTAGGGTTT